GGGGGGGGGGGGGGGGTTGGAGGGCTGGCCGGTGTTCGTGCGGTTTCCCACCCGAATGTTAAAAGAACAGCAGCCTATCTGGGCCGGCGATCTCATCAGATCAACGGTGCAGATAGGCTGCCGGTTTCTTAACATTTGGGCGGGCGGACCCAGCTGTTTTTTTTTTTGGGGCCGGGAGGCCTCCACAACCCCCGGTGGGATCGGGTATTCAGCACTGGTTCAAGTCATCAAATGCCCAAACGGTTCATGGTTTTCATGGTTCTCTGAACTCGTGGCATTCTTACCAATACATTTGTCCCCTCGTACATGTAGCGAAGTTGGCTCATCCACTGAAAGTCTGTCTCGTCTCCAACTGCCTGATCTGCCAAACCCTTTACGACATCTCGTGCATGAACATCAACCACGACCAGTGCTCCCACAGTCAGTCTTTCAAGCCTTGTAAGACGGCCCCTCACCTGCACAACGTAAAGCACAAGTGCACACAAATCCAACCACAGCATAGCAAGAAAAGTCAGTTTCTCAGAAGAAGAGAGATTTGGGTGAGTTCCAACTCCATCTAGCCTTCCCCACAGTATGGCCTCATTATTCGAGTCGAGCATATCAAAACTCCTTCAGGCATCACGGCTGTGTCATTTGATGGCACTGCATGAGGTTCTACCGTCTACGTGTCGCACAACGTGAACATCAATGATTATCTCTTGCAATACAGCATAACATTTTGGGCTTCTTCCATCTATTGACTAGTTTCTGGGAGGGCTTGTTTAGACCAGAAGTACATAGGGACCTTCCCTGCTCTGGCCCTTTTCAGCCATATGCACCTTTTGTCTTGAAAATGCAGCTTTTTAGAACGGTACCTGCATTCCTACCTGTGAACTGGCAGCTCTCTCTCAGAAGAGCAGACACCCTGGGACATGCCGTTTCTGTAAGTAATGTATGACCCGCCCACATCCCTGCGGCCTGCATGCAGTTTCAATTCTGTAGGATCTTCAGCGACTTGAGGAGGTCTCATGCCAGAGATGTGGTGAGGCCAAGGATTGTCAGGGACAATGGGAAGTTTGAGCCCAGAGTTATAGTAGTAAGGCCCTTTTTTTTTTTTTTTTTTCTGAAACATAACCTCATGCAAGGCATAAGCCCGTCGGCCTGGTTGAAATTGAGGCCTGTTCCTGCTGAAAAGGGCCCGTGCCCTGTTGTAACTGTCTGCGCCCGCCCTAAGTTAAGGGGCGGACCTTGAAAATTTGTCGAGGCCTGACCAAAGGTCGATGTGGGCAAGAGTTTGTTGCTGCACGCATCACCTGCAACCGACCAGTAGGCCAAATCGGTTGCAGATGCTGGGGCCCAGGAAGATTCTCTGCCCCTTGCCACTTACAGTTGAGCCCCAGGCACATTCTGGAAGGGTCCTGGACGGAGCTACTGGGACAGAGGCCAAGCAGTCCAGAAGCTGCCTCGCTCAGCCATATCTGAACAAAAGAAAGTGCAGCCAGGCACTTCTTCATTGAAGCCCTGGCTGGCTGGCATGAGCTTTGCTGGAGCGCTTACTCACTTGAGCACGCGCAGGAAGCTCTACGGGGTGTGGTGCAAGCGCCGGTGGGGAGCGCAGCAAGGCCAAGTGTCGGCCATAGCCGGGCAGCTGCCTGTAAGTGTCAGAAAGGGGTCTGAGCTGTGGTCCTTGGGTAAGGGCACTGTTGTGTGAGAGGTGGATGAGCGGTGTGAGTGAGCGGCAGAGAGCATGTACCTGGTGATGATGAGCAGGTCGGTTCAGCCGAGGTCTTCATTCGTGATCTGGCTGCTGCACTCCATGAAGACATGTTGACGCCATTAGAGGCTAGTCTAGTCTAGGTGCTGTCTGATCGTAGTCCGGGCGCTGAGCCCAATATAGGAGAGTGACATTCAAAACATTGATGGTGAAGGTGAGATGAGGGCTTACATTGTCGATTGAATGCATTGCTTTGCTCTTATTTGGTGTTTATCTTGGTGCATACTGTGTTCTGTTCGAGCACATGACTTTCTGGTTTTCAATGGGATGCTGCGATTTGGTTTTTGTTGCTATAGCTTGTATGCATAATTGAGCCACTGGGCTCCGATCGCAGTCTCAGCACCCTAAAAACGAGCACGAACGGGCAGGCCTTGAAAACAATGTCAAACAGGCCCTAGGAAAAAGCCAGACCGACGGTCGACCGAAATGTCAACAGTCAACTCGTAGACCCAGGCCCAGATCCGAAAAGTCAAAGTCAACGCATAAGATTTCCTGGCCGACGATCTGAAATGATCTAACGGTGGTCTGCAGGTTCCGGAAGATTCAGGCCTCGAGGAGTCCAGACCGAAACTGGGACAAATTCCATCTGAGCCGTCGATATTGGGAAGATCCGGGGCCTCACACAGACAGAAGCTGACCCTGGACAACACGAGTCAACACTATATAGAGTTGACCTCGCCACTGCTTTGACATTCAGTCTTGCAGGTTGCTTGCGGCTTCGACACTGCACGTGAGACTTGAGAGGAGGAGGCTGGCACCATGCTGTTTCATGGGCCCCGGCCAGATGCTATAGTATGAGAGGAGAAGCAGCCATTGCTGCGGCCATAGTCGACGGCGAGGCAGTGAGGAGAGAGAGAGAGAGTGTGTGGCGAGGTGTGAGGTCGTGCGTGCGTACCTGGTCTCACCTGATGTGATGGTGCTGCTGATTCTGTTCACTGCTGAAGGATCGCTCATCTGCGAGAGGCTGCATTTACATCATCCACGTGTCATACTGCGTACAGATCGCTGACGTGGCAGAGGTGGGGAAACCTGGAGGAGAAGAGGGAATTGGTTGCAATGGTATTCTTCTCTCTTCCATCTGTTTCTTCTTCCCCCCTTTCTTTTCTAATTTGGATACTCTTGACTTGAAGACTTAACACGTGGCAATGAGGGATTATGTACTTCAATTACTTCGAATTCATGGACTTGCTGGAATGATTACGACATTGCACAACATTGCTATCTCACGACATTGTTAATCTGACGACATGTTTGACTGACGAGACTGGGCTCATTACAATTTGGTATCAGAGTGAGCTCACCTCATCTCGCCGATTTGCTGCTCGATTGAGGAAGACCACGCTATTCAAGTTTGACGATATCTCTCTGATAGAATGCTGACGTGGCACCTGCAGAGTGGTTTTAACCATATGCTCGTGCCCACGCGGCATTCTCTGGCTGGTTCTCGCAAGGGAATAGATCGCCAGGAAGTCTCTCTCTGAAAGGGGTGCTGACCTGGCAAAGGCAGAGTGGTTTTCACCATATGCCTGCGCTGATGTGGCACTTGCTGGTTGGTTCCGTGAGGGAAAAAATCGCTAGTAAATGCTGCATTAATTGAAGAGTGCTGAAGAGGACAAAAGAACAAGCGCTGACATGGCATATTCACTGGCGAAAGCACTGCCGACATGGCATATTGACTCGACAGCTTTGCTGACATGGCCTATTGCCAGACGAGAGCATTGCCTACGTGACACACTGGCGAGAGCATTGTATGGCTGGCAAAAGCATTGCTGACGTGTCATAAGGGGGAGAGAACCGTTGTCGTTGTCGAGAACAAGCTGATGAGTAACCAAAATAATATTGGGATGATGTGTCCCATTGAGCACCGACATGAGACTACTTGTCTTGACCCTTGATTGGCACTGATCTGGACTTACCTCGTTGATGTATTGCATGATGCTGGCGTGGACTTACCTGTGCGGTTTTCTGATGTTGTCTGGCCTGTGGACTGACTATTGATGATCCTTGATCGAACGGCCAGAAGGAAATCCATCGCATTGGTAGTCAGCATCACACGCAGCAAAGCACATTGAAAAAAAAACTAATAGTAAATTAAGACATTGACATTCTATTTTCACTGGATTTTATTTATTTTCTGGGTGAGGACGGCACCCGGCCGGGCGTGCCCGGGGGGGCCACCCGGGCAAACCAGGCGGGCCGAAAAACACCCGAGAATTTTTTATTTTTTTTTTTCTGAAGGCGGGGTCTTTCCGCGCTCG